GCAGCCTGCTCCAGTGCCCGCCCGTGCAGTAGAGGTCACTGCACGGCCTACAAACGGTCACGCTTCTGTTGTAGCAGCTCGTTTTGTCAAGGTTAGAAACGCTCCAGCTAGGAGGGGATTTTATTTTTAGGCTAGCACAAACTATACAGTAAAAAGAAAAAATTATAATCCTTCCTTTATGAACACCAACCACCACCGTAATTTTCAGTCTAATTACTTTATTACCAGAAGGACCAGCACTTCCAGTCAGCAGCTAACACAGCAAATTGCAGCATATTCTACTTGAGTCAGCATCGGGGTAAACATTAAGCAACATGCTTTCTTCAGACAAAAATAGTGGAGTATTCTCATATCTCTACACTTCGTACCAACAGTGCAGTGCAAAAAATCTCCCCCTTTCCTCGCTCACTCTCATCTGACAGCACATCAGTCAGGAGCAGGAAGTGGCCTCCAGAAACACCTTTACCCAAAGACTCAGAGTTACAGTTCCCTGTGTATAAATGACAGCTGAGTGGGTAATTAACGTCATTGTCTAAAAAAAAACCAGTACTGTGCCAAGTTACACGCAACCTACTCCAGCGTGTAAGACACAGGATTTCCACACACAGCTGTGGCTCCAACCATTCAGATCTCAGTACACACCAGCACTTTCAGCTCTCCTTCCCCTTCTGCAGGCCAGAGGTCCCAGCTCTCTGCTCCCCACCCCAGGCTCTCTCTGGGCACCCCCCTTCCTCCTCTGACCTGCTCTACGCCAGGAGTCCAACAAAATCACACCTCAACTCTTTCAGACTGTGCATTTCCTCCTGGTGACAGCTCATTCGCCCATCTACCTTCCTCATCTCTACTCTTGCCTCTCCTGAGTAGCAGTGTTTTTAAAACTATCTCTTTCTATCTGAACATAACATGCCTGGCATTGTATTATTGCAGTTTTCACTTTATTCTCCCACCTTCTCCACTCCTCCCTCATCCAAAACATTTCTAACATCCTCTCAAAAGCTTTCTTTGTAATATGCAAGACACCAAACACCACAAGCTTAGATAATAAGTGGAATTCATTAAAACAACTTACTTGGAAATTAATTTATTAAAATTACACTGAAGCAAAGTCTGAAGTTACTTTTAGAAATAAAGACATTTTCAGCATTCAGAAACAGCCATTCACTTATATAAACATACATTTTTCAACAAGGCATTTGAGATGCTTCTTCTGCCAAAAAAGGGAGGGGAAGGACACATGTACAAACACAACCCAAATCTGCTACCACTTTTACTTACAGTTTACCAAAGATGGTAACACACTTTTACAACAACAAACATTTCATTGCTTTTATGCTGTTGTTTAGCTACTTTCATGGCATCCTGTGAGAGTTTCAGTGCATCTGGAAGGCATGAAAGGCTGGTCTTTATTGTCACTTCCAACAGCATCCTGCACTCTGGCAGACATCGACACAGTTGCTCCTTCATATCAGTAGTTTCAGCTCATCACACCGTGCAGCATTTTGATTATAGGTATCACCAAAATCCGCATTCTCAAAGTACTATTTGTAGAAGGATAATTTTCAAAGGATAGTTTCAAAGATGACATTTTAAACTAAACCCTGCAGGCAAAATGAGCACAAACACGTACAATTCCACACCTAGGGGATTATGGGCATTGTGCCTTCTTTGCAATCTGTAAAAAAAACTAAAGTGCTTTTCAAATGTGTCCTCACTGATTAAAAGGACACGTATGTTACATAAGTGATCAGCTATACACAACATTATGTTGCTGAAAGAGGCATTTCAACAGAAAGATTAATATTATCAGCACTTAATTTTAGCTTCGCAATTAAGCATACACCATCTCAAGGAGTTCCAGACAAAAATCCCAACTGTACAGAATCTATTTATTCATTGAAAAATACAAAGTTAAAGAAATAAGTGCTTATTACTCCAGTACTGTCTGTGCTTAGTACAAGTTTACTAGCATTGGCACAAACCTCAACTTTTTATTATGCTACATATGACATTTTTGAAAACCCCAAAGAAAAGGTTTTAACATAAGCAAGGGCTAACCTGTAAAGTCAAAAGTTAGCCTATATACGAATTAGAATTTGTCACACAAATAATGGGGTACCTGACCAACCAAACACATCATCCAGAAATTAATACACTGTTATTCAAAACAGGTAACAGAAAACCTTAATTTAAATCCAAAATAAGTACCTTACAGTTTTTGCTAGGCACTACCTGGCTTTTAAAACTTCAAGTTATAAAGTGACAAAACCAGAGTTTTTTTAAAGCTGAAGAGTCGGCTCTTTTACAATTTTGGCTTAGTTTCTGCTACGCAATTCCCAGTTCCACTTTACCCTTGAGTCTTGTAAACTTGACATAAGAAGGACTGCAGATATTTTCTAGATCTTCAATGGGAGGGGGGGGGGAAATATGTATCTCCTTAAAAGAGTACCTACATACTTACTTCATGTGATATGAAGATCAAAAGGTATATATAAAGTGATTTAAAGGTGATTTGTTACATGTCCCCCAAAAGATTGCTTTCAATGTTTGAAAGATCTTTCAAATAAAAGACTGAGTGCCCCCTTGTGAAACACCTAACAATAGGTTTCCTTGGCAACTGGTTTGACTGGTAAACAGAACTAAAATTTTGCATGTGAAAAGAGTAAGGTGCTGATACAGTAATACTGTATGAACTACAGAACTTTTTACTCTACACGAAAGATAAATTCTTTATACTCAAATGTCAAGTTTGTCAGATTCCTCCTGTTCCATGCCTAAAGTGCGAGACCCACATGTGCAGTGCCATATTAATGCCATATTTGAAGTAAAACTCCAGTTCCCAAAGCCAAACAGGTTGTGGCAGTACTGTCCACACTGCCTGTAAATGAAAAACCTGACTGCAAGTCCCAGCATCAGGATTATGCACGTAAAGTTCTCCCCAGTGAGTGGGCTGTTGGTTTCATCCACACTGCAGCCACTGCTGACGTGGGGAAAACCACAAATGTGAAGTGGCAGCACAGATGTCTTGAGTATCTGCTTGGCACCAGAAAGTACAGACTTCTGCTGTTTCTTGTTAGAGAAATCTGCTCTCATTTATATTCTGATAGAGCACATCTGCATCCAGATGCTGCACACTGCTTTCATGTTAAGAACATGGTATATTCGAGGATTCATTAGGCCTCCGAGCCTGGGTCTTCAGTGTTGGTACCTGCTTGTTTATAGTGAGCCCTGATAGTCAAGAATGTTTGGATCCAGGGATCCACACTGATTAGATCCAATCTACGCCTATGAGTTACTTGCAAGAAGTAACTTCAAAGTTAAAAGAAGCATCATTTAGTAATTTCCAAAAAGAATTTGTCATTAGTTAAGCTCAGTTATAATGTTTCTTTACATGGAAAACCGCCTCACTCATTAATCCTTTTGGTATCAGATGATGTCCTTCACTCATTTGGTAAAACAAATGCTTAAGTACTGCTTTTACCAAAATAAAAATTACTATTCGCTAAAACATCAACACAAGTTTTGGACCATTTTCCCATCATTAACATTTGACAAACTGACAGTAAGAGCTTATAGACAGTGGGGTTAAGCTCAGCCAGTTTTAGTATCAAATTGCAAACGATGCTGTCATTTGTTTGTGGAATGCAACAGCAGACAAAAAAAATATTCTCTTTCCAGAAGTGTAAATGGATCACTCTCACTGACTATGAAAGACTGTGCAGTTGGTATTTTTCTGGAAAGAAAGTAACAAAACAAGCTGGAAACAAAATAAAGCTAGATTTTGAAAGTGCAGTATTTCTTTGTGGAATCTCTTTTGATGTTGTATCATCTCTTCAAAGCTATTATGTTGAATGGACATGGAGCTAAAGTTAGACCAAACCTTCCGTCCATAGATGGTTTTGCAGCATTTTCAGGGTACAAAAATGTAAAGCTTTGCATTAGACTTGCAAAAATTAAGAACAGCTCCATTTTTGCCAACTGCTCTCCCATGCACACACGTTTACCTAAAGAACAGTTAGAAGAGACATATTACTGGTCTTATACTGTTGATTTGTTTGTTAACACGCACGCAATTCGTATGCTAGTATAGTCCAAACACAAAATAACTCAAGCAACTATCAAACTATGAACTGTGAAGCTTTGGTCTCCTGTATTTGAATATAAGCCTTGCTCAGCTTTACTGCTTTGTATTAGCTGCGGAAGTATTATCAAAGGAGAATTCATCATTTCTCATTTCTGTCTGGCAATTGGAGACTTGAGGAACTCAACCCATCTTGCAAGCCACTAACCGTAATAGTAAAACAAGTTCTGCAACTGGTCCTATGCACAACTTTTACATCTCACGCCTCCAAGGCTCTACCCTTGAAACACCACCACCTCCCCAAACAGCTACTGACTGCATGTGGATATCTTACCCATTCCAAAAGGAATGAAAGCCTCTTTCTTAATTAGTTGGCCATTTTCATCCAGAAATCGTGACGGTTGAAATTCATCTGGTTTCTCCCAAATATTAGGATCTCTGTGTACTGACCACAGGTTGGGCACGATCACACTGCCCTTAGGAATGATATATCCCTGCAGCACTTTAAACAGAAGCAGAGAGACAGAGGATCTGACAAGATGCTAGAAGTAAACATGGGAGACTTATACTACTAAAAAGATGACTTGAAGGTGTCACAAAAAACAATATTGATCCCTAACTGTGGGCTGCAAATGTAGCAGGAGCTTAAAGCAAAGGTGATCTCTGCTAGCCTGCTTGAGACAAAATCATACAGACCGGAGCACCTGGAAAGACACTGAGTTACACCAGCAGCTCCCTTGGGGGAAAAGGCAGCAGTGATTGTTAGAAATTAGCTGCTGCATCAAAGTACTGTGACCCAGCTTCCTCCTGTTCCTGTGCTGTCACAGAACCCCACCGCATCAAACTAAAGTAGTAAAGAAGAATGGGTTTTGAACTGTTATTGCAAAAGGGTTTTGAATGACTCATCTTATTTCAGCTTGTTGCACCTCACTGTCCTGCAAGCAAAAACATTTTAAAAGGCAGATCAATGCAGTACTGGGTTTGAAAGCCAAGTACTGCTACCTCCCACTCGCTTAAGCCAGTGAGTCATTATATGAAAACATATCACCAACAAGATGACTTGGAAAAGGATATTTATTATTGTTTCCTATAGATGCAGAGCTCAATAGTATAAGCCTTTCAAGCTTTAGCAAGCCAATTGCTCCAAATTGATGTTTTCAGACCTTGATGTGTCAGATGGCCAAAACCAACTCTTCAGTTTCAGGTACAGACGTGGAGTCTCAGCTGCCAATGACCACTAAGCACAACAGTCAACACAAGCTGATCCCCAGAAAAGAAATTGCTCTAAATTAGAATGCTTCTGGATGTTAGGTCAGACATGCTGCTTAAATAGAGGAGTATCTCAAGGCCACCTACTCTCTATAAATGGCATTTTACATACGTGGGTTACATGTCTAGTACATAAATGAGGTCTTCGTAAATTCTCACTAGAGGTCCCATCAGACCTTCATCCACCAAAGAAACACGGCATTGGTAAGTCTCTAGAAACGCTTACCAGCAGTTTCTGAGGCCATTCGAGGAATAGAAAGGGGAACAACCGCTGTCATCCTCTGCACTTCCATAATGGTTGCCTCTGTGAAGGGCATTTGAGCCTTGTGGGTAAGAGAAGGAATTTTGTCACGTCCTAGAACTGCTTCAATTTCTGCATGAACCTTCTCTATTCAAAGGGAGCAAGAAAAAAAAATACAAAAAGTACACACAATATGTGAGAAGACATCATCTCAATTTCATTTGCCTGTGACTGCAAGACACGTGATCCCTGGCTGAAATAACTACACCAACATAAGCCTTAAGAACGGACTCAGCTAAGAACAAAACAATCAAGTGCAATCTTGACAACTGTCAAGAGTAAAGCCACCGAGATGACAGACATTGCTAGCACCTCTGTATTGGAAAAGTACAGGAAAAGTTCTGTTCCTGTTCCAAATGTATTCATAATCTTTGTTCAATTACACAGTAGTTTGAATGGTGAAAACATCAAGCTTCTGGCCTGCATTAAAAAAAATGAATAAAAAGAGACTGCGTGCAGTGAGTGCCCGAGCTGGTGTCTGTCCCTGGGGAGATCCAGTTCTCAGAACCCAGAAAGGTGGTGAAGAGGTGGGGAAGCTTTTCATGCAGCTGCTTTATATATTTCATTCTGGAGCAGGAATTCTGATGCTGTTACTGCAAGCATTGAAGCTTGCACTAACATGTGACTTGTTCTCGCTGTTTCCTACTTTCTATTCACAGAACCTAAACTCTAAACTCACAGAACAGCCATTTCCCAGTTCCCCCAAAAGACAGCAGCTGATGCTCTTTCCTCCACACAGCCCTTCTGCAAAGGAAAAACAGAAGTTAACAAGCTTATCTCTCCTCTCATCCGTGTGAAGCACAAAGTGTGAAATGATTTCGTTGCCCCTTTCATCGCACCCAAGTCTCAGCATGCAAGTAATTCTCTTCACAGAAGTTTCCAGGATACAACATTTGCCTCATCCGTGTACAGGATGATACACCTTTTCTTCCAGGTAACTTGGAATCTGGCTATGCAGCAAACAACAATTTTGAAAGAGGAAAGCTCAAAATTAACCTTTTGTCAAAAATAATAAAACTCAGTTTTCATTTTTTACCCTTGGTATCATGAATATTTTGTGGTTCTCCTGCTTGCCTTTTCCAAGATCCAGGCTGCTGATACTCTGAGGTTTTTTCTATTTTCTCTCCCTAGCACTGATTCAAGATTAAGTAAAAGCTCAATGCAAAGAAAGAAGTGTCTGTTTCAGAGAAGCATTCAGAAATACTGTCAAGCCCAGGCTGGATGTGGTTCTGGGCAACCTGATCTAGTTAATATGTCCCTGCTCATTGCAGGGAGCTTGGTCTAGATGACCTTTGAAGGTCCCAAACTATTCTATGATTCTGTATTATACAAATTGTGTTCAATGAGCAGTTGCTGCCACCTGCTGGGTTTGCTAAGAAAACAAGTCCTCATGTGAGGAACAGAGAGTAAAAAAGTACCTCGACAGTGGTGTGGCTGTCACTACCTGCTTTGTGGGATTTTGCTACTTTTTAGAAGCACACATTATCACCCTATATTCAGGTATGCACGTCCACAGTAATTTAAATAAGTTTTCAACAGCAGCCTTCCAATATCTGAGGGGAGCTTACAAGGATGCCAAGAGGGACTCTTCATCAGGGATTGTAGTGATAGGACAAGGGGTAGTGGATTTAAATTAAAACAAGGGAAGTTTAGGTTAGATAAAAGGACGAAGTTCTTTACCGTGAGGGTGATGAGGCACTGGAACAAGTTGCTCCAAAAAGTGGTAAATGCTCCATCCCTGGCAGTGCTCAAGGCCAGGTTGGACAGAGTCTTGGGTGACATGGTCTAGTGTGAGGTGTCCCTGCTGATGGCAGGGGGGTGGAACTAGATGATCTTAAGGTCCTTTCCAACCCAAACCATTCTATGATTCTATAATACTAAAATTTCTCTGCTAACAGCATGTTAATTGAACTGCTCCACTGCATTTCATATATTTAAAAATCACGCTTCAGAAGTCACAGACCAAAACCAAGTCAGAGAACAGACCAAACCAAACACTGCCTGCTGCCTCCCTATGTGCACCCATGTGAAAAGAGGCCCATGCATGACTCCCACGCAATCAGATACATAGGGAATGGGATACTAGAAGTAAGAGAATCACACTACATAGCTAAGTGATACACTCTGGACTACTGTGCCTAGTTTTATGTTGCTCGACAACAGCCACACCATAAGGAAAGGTGAAATCAGAGAGAAGCAATAAAACTTCGAGATCAGCACAGAGAGGAAATTGACAAGCACATACATGTACAGTACCAGGCAGGAGGGAAAGGGGTTAAACTCCCCCACCCCCAAGCCCTTCTAATCTCACTTGTGTAATTCAGAATATATATAATTCATGTATCTGCATATCAAGCCAAGCAGTGATAACACACAACCATTAAAAATAGAAGAATAAGCCTATGCAATAAAACTTTATTTTACATTTGTCCCCAGTGGACTCTCTCTCCCACATACTGAACCGATGTCCTATTTTGCAATCTTTGCTCAACAATTTGGTTGACTTTGTGCAATAAACTATGATCTTGACCTATTTAAAGAGATTATTCCAGACAGATGCTGTAAACAAGTATCTATTTGCTTATTTGCAAAGCAGCTGCAGCACATGAAAACCTCAAAATCTGAAATACTTGATAAAATACTTGATTCCAGGTTTATAGTGTTCTTGGATAACTTGAGGCTTACCCTTCTCCACTCCAGGTTAGCAACAAGCCTGGGAAAAGCAGTGGTCTCTTGCGGAAATGTGTCACTACTGTAAACTGAGGTAGAATTGCCTAACTAGAATCTGCTCAAGGTTTCCAGTCCACATATACCTGACAATCCTTCTAGTGCAAACCAGTTGCCATGTAGCACTTCAGGAGAAGTTAATAAATGAATAAATCAATTGCTTTATTTTTCTTAAATTCAACCATCTATATTTGCTAAACGGTACTAAAAGAAACCCCCTACAATGCTGGCTTTGCAACCACATGTACTGTAACAAGACTCAAACGAGACTCAATATAGAAAAATATTTAACCAAACTTAATTTTAAGTCTTTGGCGATGGAAACTTACTGTAAGAAGTCCTGAAACACAACTCTAGCAAGTACTATTTTAATATCTTAACATCTCCAACACCACTGGTATTTTTTATATCCACAAAAATCTAAAAGTAATTTTACAGACAGTAACCAAACCACACCACCATCAAGTAATCTGTTCTGCAAGGAACATCTGGAGGTCATTTGATCTAAACCCTTACTCAAAACAAAGTAATATTCCAAGTTAGATTCAATTCTGAGAGTGGATCAGACTACTCAGGGTCATACCCCACTGAGTTTTGACTACTTCCAAAGCTAGAGATTCTGTTAAGTGTTGGGGCAATCTGTTGCACTCCTGGCTCTCTTCACAGGGCAGGGGTTTGGGTTTTTTCCCTAGTATCTGATCAGAATTTTCTCATTCTAGACTATCTCTGCTGCTTCTCTTCCCTCCACTGCACACCTCAGAGGAGACTGCCACCATCTTCTTAGCATCTTCCAATCGGGTAGTTGTAGGCAGCAAAAGGTCTCCCCTCAGTTATCTTTCCCT